AACAAGTTTAATTTCGCCTTGAATTTTGTTTGCAGGATTCGCAGAACTGTAGTAACGATATCTAGTAAATCCCCTACTTCACGAAATGTCAGCCGAAATTCCGACACGTCTTTCAATTTGAATAAATTACTTCGTTGGGTTATTTAGTTCCGTACGGTCTAATCTCAAGAGATTTCAGTCAAGACAGGATGCTAACTTCCGAACGAGCTTCTTTTTGACCATCTGCAAAAATTTGATCCTCTAAAAAACGGCTACTTAATTAGAATGTATTTTGCTCCTTTCTTTTCGATGGCCTTAAAAATTCCAGTATATTTGATAGAAAACATCAGCAACATACTCTTATTTGTACTCCTTGGCAGTAAATTAAGTATTCTTCGAAATGTATGGCTAAAAACAAGTATCTCTCTGTTTTAAATGAAGTTTCTTATCATGAGACTTTTAAGGCCGTGGAATGGTCATTCACTATACATCATATCCATCAATTTATCAATGTTGCCTATAAGGTATAAAATATGATCCAAGTCCATTGCAAAATTGTATGTCATCTGTGTGCCTTTTTTCTCATATCGTAAGGAGATATTTACTTCTTCTTAGATAGAATGCATACAGCATGTAGTTTGGAAACTTTAAATTCAAGTGTATTGGTCAGCAGGGTTCAACACCATTCGAAAAATTGGAAACTTTTTTAAAACCGAAAAATCTCCTTTTTCAAGTATAAATTTGAAGGCGTAATATTTTACCAAATGCGTACAAGAAGTCATTTTTTTATGCATGTTTCCTATTAAATATAATTGAATGCAGACTATTTAAGTAACCGTTTTTACAGAGTATACTTTTTGCAAGCAGTTAAAAAGAAGCCGTTTAAAAGCCGGCACCCTGGCGTGACTGAAATAGATTGGGATTTAGCTGCATGATGCTCAGTATTTCTACCTTAGTTAAGTATTTTTTCCGAATCGGAAAAACATTTTAGCATTTCGGTTGACGCTTCATGAAAGAGTTAATCGACTGTAGAAAGAATATGGATGTATGTGGTTAAGTCCAGTTATTCACTGCATAAAAATATCTCGTGTTCCAACCGTGTAGGTGGGACACTTACGATCTTCCTGGATGACTGCGGTCTGCCAGATGCCCACCGTCAGCTGAAATCCTCGGTTTCGGAAAGCGCACAGCAGTTGATTAATCGACTGTTGACCATTTACGGACTGAACGCGCAGGACTTTGAAAGTAACCAATATTGTCTGAAACAAATCAATATACCGGCCAAGCATGAGCGTCTCCCGTAAGTCCTAACATGTCTGTGGCTTCAAGATTTCTCACTTTTCCTCCCCTACTCCCATCTTCCACTTGACCTCTCCGTTCCATTTATCCCGATTCCTTGCTCTTGCTACCTCAACTTTCCATTCCCCTTCGCGTCCTTCTCTGCCACCAAATACGCATATCCCTTTCCTTATGCTAATGCGACTTTTATTCATACACGACTTTCAGTTAAATTTACTATCTTTTATTCATCACGTGCACGCTTCCGCCCCCCCCCTTCCCCAATATGATTTTGTTCTGGCATCTTATTCGTCTTCTCTCCAATTTCCTCCGCACTCTCTTTGCCCTTTTTTATATGCATCTTCTTCCTTTCAATCCCTCCTATTATTACATTCCCGTTTTTTTCTTCGTCATCGTCTTCGTCTTCTTCCTCTTCTTCCAAACCGCACGCATTCCCTCCAGCCCTACTTTTTCCTTCCACACTTCCTCCCTTTCGTTGTTGTTTTAAACTTTGCGATTTCATCTCTCTTCCCCCTTTCCGTGGCATATGTTTTCTAATTTCTTCCTCATTCCCGTTTTTCAATTCGTTTCCCCTTTTTTAAGCTCTTGGATTTAAAAACGTAGTCTGGCGTAGTTGAAGTAACCCTTGGTGGTTAAACTATTACATGCATATAACCACACACACAAAGTTGTTTATTGTGGTTTTTGATATTTAAATTCCTTTATTTATTGAGATTTGGTTTTTTTTATTTTATTTGATATCACTCTGAATTTTATTGCTATAGATAGGTCTAGAAAAATAAATTTGGGAGATATTTACCTATTTCTATTCAAAAGAAGCGTAGACAGCAGGGTTTATTGAATTCAACAAATTTCTCGACGGCTTTTCACCCATCATTGCATGAGTCAAATAACGGTTAGAAGCATACAACAGAGTGAATTTCACAGAACGGCAATGTATAACAGCACAGGTCATAGTTCAGTGCATATAATGATCAACTGGGGGACACTACATTGAATCAGCCTATAGGGAGAAAAGGGGGAGATGACGTTGGCGCAAATCAAGTCGTGATTAAAACTAGCTGTCCAATTACCGAGGTAATTGGAAATTGACCACGTGGTCTAGCTGCTTGCACAGGTCGGGTTTCTCCCGCCATATGTAGGCCGCTTCCAAGCAGCACAGGGTCCGATTTATCCGTGTCCAAACAAGTACATACACATTCCGCTGCTTTTCCGTGTGGAAGCCAATCGTCAAACACCCACTACCACCATTCCTGTTTTACACGATCCTAGGGTTAGAAGGGACTAAGGGGGCTTGTAAAACCTACCGTTGCCCTCAGTATTTAAGAGATTAGTTCATGGAGTTCTTTTTGTTACTACACTCTCCATTCTTTCTTTTCCCTGTGGCTTCCATCAAAGCATTCTCCTTCCTCCTTGTTACTTACCATTTTATTACACATCGCCCCCTGTTAATTTTCTCATCTTCTCCTCTCCCTTCCCACGACTACTAAAACCATCATCCCGGTCGCTACCACAATCAAGATTCCGTTGTAAAAATGCCGTGTTTATTATATTCTCTTTAACCAGGTTGGATGTCCCAGCACAAGTCTACCTCCATCCTGATGACAGACCGCTTCAAATAATGCGTAGGTCTATGGCCCTCTACCCTAACATCCGAACAGAACTGCGCCTGATAAACGCTCAGGATGCCGGGGCGATGGGGGACGACGCCTCTTCGCAACAATACGTAAATATCCCTCAACAGCGCAAAACTAGCGACAGCGGTGATGACGATGAAGTGCTCGAAGAGGAGACGGAAATTAGCCGGGACAGCGGCCGGACCACACCGTCAGT